GGGGGGGGCCTGGGGGGGTGCAGAAAATCGTGAGAATTCCCAAGAAGGGGGAGAAGAATCCAGAAGCCTCTTTCTCGGAGGAAGCTGGCCCAGATCTCAGGTACTTGTGTTCACCTCTGAAGCAGCCAGACATCAGAGGGCAAGAGACCAGCTCACGGTCACCCCACACGCCCCCACTAGGGCCGGAAGGGAGGGCCAGAGCAGGGCTGAGCTTCCTGGCAACAGACTACCTTTCAGAAGAGGCATCCATGGCCCTACCCCGCCCACCCCGAAACACACAACTGGGAAATACTTGCAAGTTCAGCCTCTCCTATGCTGCTCAACACTGCAGAGAATTGCACGCCCCAAACTCTTGACAACAGAAGCTGACAGGCGGGGATGGATGGACCAAGCAGGCCCAGCAGGCAGCCGGTTTCACACACAACAGTCCCACACATCTGTGGGGGGGAGGGGCTGCAGAACCAGCCTAGCGGGTTTGGGGTGCCCGCCCTCCCTGGGCTCCAGGCCCAAGCCCCCCAAATCTTCCTCTCAGACTGGGAAAAGACTCACACCTACCTTAGAGTATTGTCAGAGTGAAATTAGGCCTGATCCTGCTGTCCAAAGGAAGATGGTTCACCCTGGGGATAAATACCTGGCCGTCGCCCTTTCTCCAGCCAAGAGCCTGGCGGGGAAAAGTCGGATGGTTTCTCAGGGTGTTGATAGCCACAAACCGGGTAGGGTCTCCTTGAGGGAAAGGGAGCCTTACAAAAGCCCCCCTTTCCCATCTGCCCAGGGGGCCCTCACTCTGGAAAGGATGGGGGTGGGGGGCGGCTGAGTCAGGAAGGTTCAGCCAGGGCGACTAGCAGCAGGAGGCGACTCATCTGCATTTCCAAAGGCCCGCCCCGTCCACGTCCCCGCCCCGTCCACGTCCCCTCCCCGAGAATGGGCCGGAGATGTGAGGGCTTACCCTGGAGCCCTCCGCCTCAGGGGATCCCGGGGAAGGCCCGCTCGGCTTTCCCAGGCCACAATCCTCCCTCACCCCCACCCCCCCCC